AGGCCCCAAAACCCAAAGTCACTCAGTCTTGTCAGGGTTCAGTTGAAGCCTGTTGTTCCCCATCCAGACCCTCACAGCCTCCAGACACTGGGATAAGGTGTCCACAGCATCTTTTAATTCACCAGGGGCAGAGATGTATAGTAGGGGATCATCAGCATACTGATGATAACTCACCCTGTGGCAATGGATGAGTTCACCCAGAGGTCTCAGGTAGATATTATATAGGAGAGAGAAGAGCACAGAACCCTGCAGCACCCCACATAGTAAGGGCCAAGGGTGGGACCTCTCCTCCCCAATCATCACTGACTGGAATCAACGTTGGAGAATGGAGGCAAACCAGGACAGCACTATGCAGCCCACCCCAGTCCCCTGAGCCGATCCAGAAGGATTCCATGGTCAATGGTATTGAAAGCCACCAAGAGATCAAGTACAACCTCCATCCCACCCATGCCAGAGATCATCCAGAAGTGTGACCAATGCTGTTTCTGCCCCATGCCCAGGTCTGAATCCAGATTGAAAAGGATCCAGATAATCCACTTCATCCAAGACCCTCTGAAGCTGTTCTGTAAAGTTGTGTAAACCTAAACAGAAACTCAATATCTGTTTAAGAGAGGAAGAGGGGACAGATTATTTTATTGCAACTATGGCCCAACCAGGTAAAACATTTACTGATATCAAGCAGTAAGATCAAAAAATTCATTGCTTATTAAAGGATGTACCCACATAATCTCGCTGTACATTTATGTATGTTTGTACACCCATATACATGGGCAGTTTCAAACCAATCCAAGACAGGAAAGACAATATTTAAACTGTGATCTGCTAAAAGGGGCCAGTTCACAAATTAGTGTAGAAGACTCAGACTCTACACAGAAGGAAATGTTACTCTGATTGCTCTAATGTTCCTGCCCACTGATATTCTGAAGTGGGGATCTCCCCACACTTAAAAAGAGTTTTTGCTGAACAGGATCATGGCAGAGAATTTCAGGACAGCATGGCTGGAGCAAGCAGGTTGGCATGTTAAGGCAATGAGATATGATCCTGCAGCATGTAGTTCTTTTGGACAATGCTAGGATGGCATCATTGAGGTGGAATCTGAATTTATCCAGTCTATTTCTCTGTTTAATTCAGTGACTCCAATCCAGAATGTATCTAAAATTCAGCAGCTTGCATTTAACTACAGGAGAGGGGAGCCCATCACCTTCAAAAGCAGTGTCCTTCTTCATTGGAGAGCTGCAAGGAAATTCCTTCTGATATTTAGCCCAAACTAGCTTCCCTATTCTTTTCATCCACTGGCTCTTGTCTTGGCCTGATGAATTACAGAAAACTATTTTATTCTACTTTTCCAAATTCTGCTTCCTCCACACACTTGGAAGCGAGCTCGTGGCAACAAAAGGATTGGGCAATTGAACAAACTCACTCCTGCCTTAGTCACCCCTGCTCCCCGAATGGACTACTGCAATGTGCTTTACATGGGGCTGCCCTTGGAGAACATTCAGAAGCTAAAGCTAGTTCAAAATGTTAACTTCAGCTTCTGGATTTTAGTTGACAGTGTGCTTCCAGGTTCAATGTATGCTTCCGGGTTCAAGCACAGTTCCTAATATGCTTCCGGGTTCAAGCACAATAATTCGCATTTGCAAGCTCTTTCTCTATATATACATATACATATACATATACATATACATATACATATACATATACATATACATATACATATACATATACATATACATATACATATACATATACATATACATATACATATACATATACATGTACATACAGTATATATATACAAATACACACACAGATACATAAATACATAGATTGCATAGATACAAGCCACCTATTTCTTACAATTTGTGTTTGTTCATGGCCTCTAAGTTATCTTCAGTTAGAATTGACCAGCTGTTCATCAAGGATATTTTACGTGACCTCTCCTTCCATTACCCACTTCAGCAAGGTCCATGCATATTTTCACAAATAGGTCTCCTTGAAAATGGAAGAGTCATCTTAGGCTGATTATTTTTCCCTAGTCATTTCCCCCATTGAAGGGGATCGTCTTAAATTGCCATTTTTATTTTGGGGAAATATAGTATCACACACCCAACCATGTGTCTATGTCTGTAGATTCTCCTCGGATAGTTTGCTGAATTTCCATATTCTGCCTCATCCACAATCACTTGGAAGCCAGCTCATAGTGACAAAGGATTGGGCAACTGAACAAACTCACTCATGCCTTAGTCACCTCCCAAATGGACTATTGCACTGTGCTTTACATGGGGCTGCCTTCTGGAGCATCCAGAAGCTGCAGCTGGTTCAAAATGCAGCAATGAGGACAATTATGTTTGCTCCTCAATCAATTCATGTTATACCTCTGCTCCATGAGCTGTATCAGTTTCTAGTATGTTTCCGGGTTCAATTCAAGCTTATGGTAGTTACCTATCAAACCATTCATGGTGTTGGTCCAACTTATCCAAGACAGTGCCTCTCTCCAATTGTGTCAACTCATCCCATCAAACCTAGCAGGAGAGACATGTATGGATCCCTGCCATCTGACAGGACCCAGGAAGAGAGCCTTTTCGGTCATGGTGTCCACTCTTTGGAGCAGCATCCCCTCACACACACTCCCACCAATAGGAGTAGCTCCAACTCTGTTGGGCTTTTGTAAGCCTTGAAAAAGTGGCAACGTCACCGGGCATGGGGGATGGAACTTATGCGGGAGGGTAGAAATCATGTAAAACCTTGTACATGGGAGCATAACATAATGTAACATCAGTATCTGTGTGTGTGTGTG